AATTAAAAATATGTTGCTTTAACACGTTTTTTTTTTTAAAAGATTTTAGTAAGGAATGAGCGATATTCAAGAAGTGGAAAAAGAAAAGAGGGATTAAAATCTAAAACCTTTGCAACCTGAAATTTGAACTGCCTCCTTAATAATTTACGCGTTCTTTTATTATCCTTTACATTATTTCAGTTTAATTATTTTTTTTTATCTCACACGCGTCACATTAGATTCATTACAGTGTATATTACAATTTTTTTTTTCCAATTAATGTATAAAGGACAGTACCACACTTCAGAAAAGGGCACTGCCATAATTTCGTCTCTAATTAAACAAATAAATAAAAGAAATTGGAATCCCGAAAATATCCTTAGACCATCCGATCCGGAATTAGAAGTGACAACCGAGCGGCGAAAGCAGCACCGAAGCGGCGGCGGAGGAGAAAGCAATGGCGTCCGGCTGGGGAATAACGGGGAACAAAGGAAGATGCTACGATTTCTGGATGGATTTCAGTGAATGTATGTCTCGTTGTAGAGAACCCAAGGATTGCGCTCTTCTCAGAGAAGACTATTTCGAGTGTCTCCACCACTCTAAAGAGGTCTCCTTTTCTCCGATCCTTGTTTTTTTCCTTATTTTTCTGCGATCTGTTTTGCTTTGTTTCAGTGTTTATGCAAGGTTTTGGTTGTAATTTTTGCGGTTCCTGAAATGATTAGTTTAACTAGGGCTCTTTTTGGTGGGATTTTGTGTATCAAACTGAAGAAGTTAATTGGAGCTTCGAGATGATATTGGTTGGAGGTCTTATGGACGATAAATTGCTGAAAATGTTTTAGGGAGCTGGCATAGGGGAATAGAAGTAAAAAAAGAAACTAGTTCTACATTTCTTCGCTGTCTACTGGATTTCTGTCGTATATTGAGCGAAGCGGTTGGTTTCAGTAACTCAATAGGTTCTCGGAAAAAGTTATTGGATGAAAAGAAGCTAAAGAGAGGTGATGAAGGAGATATTTTGAGAATAAGGGAACTGTGGGCAAACCCCGTTTCTTGATGCAACAAGCTTAGTGCACGCTTATGTGAGCTGTTCATGTAAAGGAAAGTACCTGAAATGATATGAAATGTACTATAGTTGGTGTGCCAGATACTAAAAGAAGTAAGATTAGCTAGCTATGGGTCATCTGATCTCAAAAGAAATGAAAAGCGGTTGGCTGGGATGTGAAGTTACACTCGAGATGTTTCATAACATGGACACGAATAAAATGCACTGACAGGATCTGGAAGTTTACCATGAAAGTGTAGGGTTGTTAATATCTGATTGTGCTCAGTTTTATCTTGAGAATACTTTTTGGGAGTCCTCTTAGTCCTTTTCTGTCCTTGGAAATTTGTACTTCATTCCAACGTTGTTCAAAATGATCTTCTCTTAGGTGCCTTACAAGAAGCTGAAGGGTTGTCTTGTGTTTGATAGGCATTCAACTCCAACAGGGATGTATAGCCAACTGCCATTTCTATTATTTTCTCTTTTTATAGCCAATGCAATCCTTGACTGTCACGTAGGATGTGATAACAGTAATAGATAGATGTGTGTGTTACATGTACTTAAAAGTCTGAAATGTAACTAAATTTAGCCATAAAGATCATTCTGTTTGTTAGAGTTGCAGAACATTGAACGTTTTGTTTCGCTAGAGGACATTTTTATTTAACTTGAAATAGGTCCAACACTCTTGTGAAAGGTAATGATTATGAAAATTTTAATTTTAAGGGGGCAATGTTGTTATAAAAGGGAGTGCACACTTTAGCTTTGGGAGGGGATTTTTTTTTTGGGGGGGGGGGGGGTGTGGAGAGAGCAAGTATGATGTAATTGAAAGAATTTCCAAATTTTCTGAACCTACATTGTGATTTTATCAAAGTTGAGTTGGGGGTTTTTGGTGGGGAAGGTAATTGCGCAGGCTCAACAGTATCTGGTTCTGGCACTGGTTCTAACCATCTTTTTTTTGCTTAAGTAAATAATATTGCTTTTGCTGCAGTTTCAACGTAGAAACAGAATCTACAAGGAGGAGCAGAGACAGCTAAGAGCAGCTACGCAGAAAGGTGAGGATGGTGGACATGGTGGAAGTCATCACTGATAAATGTATTTCGAGAGGGTGGGCGGTAAATGTTCGACTACTGAATCTTTTGAAATAATTGCCAAATCAGTTGTATTTTTCTTGTCAGCGATGGAAACAAAACATTTTGTATTTGTCAATTGTCTTTGTTTCTTGCAAGATACAACAAATTTCCTTGCAGAGGAAGATACATAGTTATTTCTTTGGTTTATGGATGAGTGCTGATAAAATAACCATAGACACATAAACTACTTATGTTGAATTTCAGAAGGTTTCACCTGGGTAGCTTTTACTTTCAGCAATCGCAACCTGTGAGGTAGAGAATTCTTTTGCTTTTTTAGGATGCAAGATATGTATTGGCTGCATAACCAATCATAGAAGCTTATCGTGTCCAGTCTGGTGATCTAGATGCTATAGCATTTCAAAGAAAACTTATTATTGATGTTAGAAATTTGAAGCGAATGAGAATCAAGTCATTATTTCTGACCAGTAATAAAATGGATGTGCACCGAATTGAGTTTTGAGATTGGTTGTCTGCCAATCTGCATAGCAAAGCTTATCAGGATGCGCGGGATGTAGTGCTCTCTGTTAGGTGTTTCACATTCTTGCTAAGTTAATTAGTGTGCTAATATTACACAAATCAGAAACTGACAGAGTGGTAATATTTCATGGATGGTTCCTAGCTGATAATTTTTAAATTCAGAAAAATGACTCTGCGAAGTGATGGGTAAACCTTGAAAAACTCAGGCAACTTTCAATGCTAATGAAACCTTGAAAAAAAATGTTATGGAAAACCTTTGTCTTTCTCTTGGAATGTTGTTCGGAGAAACATATCACCAGCAATTATGCACTCTCCAAATGCATTTCATCTTGGGAGGCTCTTTGATTCGTGCCCATGAAACCCTGTTGCCAACTTATCCCCATGACAAAACTAAGGTTCGGCCAAAAAGGCTCAGTTAGAGTTTCAGGCAATATATTCTTAGTCTCTGTCTGGTCAGCTAGAAGAACAAGCGTCTTCAAATTCTCGTACCGTAAGCCACTAATCAGTACTTCATCAGGAAATCCAATTTCCTCACAAAAGGAAACTCAAGCGGATGCTTGGCAAGTTGGCGTCCACTTTACTGTATTACTACATGACAAGGTTGATAGGTTATCAAGGCTGAATAATTGATTCCAGGACAAGCTTTCCTTCCCACCCCAAATGGCTACAAATCAAAACTCGTTTCCTCTTCACAGAATTCATGCAGCATTGATGAAGAAGCTTGTTTTTGCTGGAATTCATAGCATCCAGTTATGTAGCTCTCTTGCTTCTCTCTAGGGAGTAGGAGCCAGTAATGCAGCTACTGAGTGCAGCCTTGTTTGACCCTTTTTATCACCAGCTTAAATACCAGAATTGTGAAAGTTCAGTTTCTTCCAACTACGAAGTTTTCCCATACGAAGTTTTCTTATACTTTAGTATAGTTGAGATATGTTTATGTAGATTTTCAATCTTAAAATATGTGCCCGTGGATTCGCATCATATGATAATCCAGATGAGAGAAACACCGTGCGGGAGGAGGCAACATTCATTCTAAGATTGCATAGAATCTTTGTAAATGTGCTTCAGGGAACTTTCAAGGAGGACATGAAGGAAAATGTGTATACGCATCACAAGAACACCTTTTACATTTTCATCATTGCTGATTGTTGATTGACTTGGATCTTCCTGAATACGAAGCAAAACCTCAACAAAGTCTTCATATTCAGGCTCAGAAATCTCGGGATCAAGATGCTCCTTTATTACTCCGTTGAGGAAGCTAACGAGTTCCCTAACAGTTCTTCTCTGGCCTCCCATAAAACCACTTTAACCATGCCATCCATCCATAGAAAGAAATCAGCAATGTCTACTCCATTAAGCAAGTCTTGTTTATCATGTTTATGTCCCCCAGCACGTGATGAAAACTCGCATTCTTTAAGGTATTTAAGCATATCATCGGATTATACTGTTTTCGTAGGTACCATGAAAAGTATCATCTCATCAAGCAAAGGTTTCATGGGTAAAAATTTTCTTAGATTTCGATGAACAAATTTGCAAAGATGCTACATTCTATGTGCTTGTCGAAGTTCAATGGTCTGATGGAGAGTCGATGGCTCATGGCACATATTTCTTGTTGAAGTTCTACCAGCAGTATTTCTTCTTTGCTTTTAAATACCATTTGGAAGATTGCTCAACTGCGGCTGCTCTTGCTATGGCAACAGCCAGACCATGCTTCCCTGTTCTTCTGTTGCTTTGCTATTCAGGATATAGCGTGAAACTGGAGCTATACTTTCCCCATTTCTTTGATTTCAATTCAAACGTTGGCTTTTGTCTTCAAAATTTATACTGAAGATTTCTTTCTCATGGATGTTTCATTAGTCTTCAACCACCGAATTTAGTTGCCTCGTACCATTAGTTAAAGAAAGAAACGAAAAGGATTCTCAGCTACTTCGAAATATAACCCATATTGACTGTTGAAAGATATACTCCTATCATCTTTTGAACTGTAATCTTGTTGCATGACGCTTACACCTCTGGCTCCTCTTTTTGCTCACTGGGATGTCTAAAATTCAAAATGGCCGTCCTTAATATGCTTCTAAAAAACCAATTACCTCTACAGTAGTTAGCTACCACGTGTCTTTGTGAGGTGGAAGGTCAAGGATTCAAACATTATCTCCCATCAAAAGTTGCCACTTAATGTGGCATCTCTTATATCCATATGAGTGCCTCTCGCATCTATATAGTCTGATGGTGCTTCAATTCTCATCGATTCCTCGTGACTCTGTTGGGTCACCCCTTTAGTATAGGTTAAAATATGAGTAGAAATAGGTGTAGGATGACAGTAGATCAAAGAAAAAATGCTTCTAAAAGCATGTCAGAGTAAAAGCACAATCAGGAGCTACTTTAGAGCACCAAACAAAGAATAGTATGAATCTCCATGGATATCTGGACAATGGACGTCTTTTTAGATGTTGAGTATTTGTTCTTAGAAGTTGCCACCAAAATTTTTGAAACTCATGTACACCCCAGAGAGGAAAACGACTGTACTCTACAGAAAAAGCCGCAACAACAAATTCTAGCTCATCTTTTTCTAATTATCCATGTAACAAAAAGTGGAAAAGAAAGAAGGTGACCCTTGGTGGCTCTCCTACTTCACTTTGTTGGATACCTTGATGTAATTCAGGAGCCTACTTAGGGCCTTGCCACTGTCGATAGCCTCTCTAGCTCTATCCAAAGCTCTGGATATATCTTCTGCACCATCGCAACCAAGCAAGTGATCGATCATTCCAGCATTGAGGACAATTCGATCATATGCGGGACCTTTCTCACCACCCAGAGCTGCTAACCCCAACTCCAGGTTCCTCGAGACCTATAATGATTAGGAAAAGAAAGGGGCCAATTAATGATCATCAGCTCTTAGGTAGTAGGATTGTATAACAATGCATACTAACATTTTCTACAAAAACCAAAAGCTGCACTTTCAAGAACTAACTAACACACAGAAGATACAAGTTGAATGAGGGAAACTAACATAAAACCAAACAAAAGCTTGTAATAAAGCTATTGACTACAAGAATTAGACTAGCTATTTAACTCCCAACACATGCCTAACATAAATCATGTAGGGCAGAAGTAAGCAGGATGTACATAGCAAACAAAATCTATGACAACATCTTAGCTTTCAAATGCCTGATATACTCGGGTCATGGTGTACAGTTTGGCAAGGCACTATCTACAGTGTGTTTAAACTATTGCATGAACTTGAAGAACTTGGAAGCGGAATCATGATCACTGAAATTGCACTGTCCTGGAGAACGGTTATTTCAGTACAACCAAATTCTAAGAACATCAAGTAAATTATTTTTTCTACCTAGCGTCATATATCATAGCAACACTGCAGGAATAGAAACAAGCATGTAAAATTGGACAAGCATAAAAAGTTAACAAGAGAGTCTAAAACAACGTTACCGATCTATCAGTCCTTGGAGTATCACTAGGCTCAAATCCAAGGTCCCTGGCGTTCACCTCCATGGTAAAAGTTTCACGAGACACACCTACAGTAATGCATATTTTAGTTTTGGCCTGTGAAGGTATACCACTGTCCATTTTCTAGCTGCTACCAAAACATTCTGTTAATAACTTTTTTTTTAATAACGTAATTCATTAAGCTTCAGAACGAACAAAGCAGAGCAAGACATAAAAATGAGATGTATACCATACCATCCAGTGCACCAGCAGATACCACATTCAAAGAGCGAAAGCCTGAACAGTAATTGACAGGTAACCCCTTTGATGCATGAATTGATCTTGATTTTGTTGTCATTGAAAGAGCCCCTTCCTCACCCTGAAATTTATTTAAGTGAATAAAAATAAAAATGTCTACAATGGAACACCTAAAGCTTCTGTATCAGCTTATTAATGAAGTCTAGCGGCCAACAAACTCGTACATTTTAAAAAATTCATACGTTGGAAAATCTACAGAATAGTAAACACTTGTGTGCTTAAAGCTTCTATTCAGATCAATTAATGTTACTGGAAAAAAAAAGGTTCATATATGAGTATACAGATATACAACTCAACATAGTGTATATTTCAGAGGAAAAATAAGAGATCCAAAACTATGATATGATGAACATTTCCAGTACATAACCATAAAGCATACATACTGCAGAAGAATAAACATTATCCTCAAGTTTTACTTTGCTCAAAGAGTAAACCACTATGGAATCTAATGGCATACCTTAACCACCAAACCAGATTGGACACCTCTTCTTCTCATAAGCATTAGTAGTGGCTCCTCATAGCCATCATGATAAAATCCGGCAACAATTGCTTCTCTTCCCCTAGCCTAATGTGCAGGCCCAACAGAGGAAAAAAAGGAAAAAAGGGCGGCAAAGAAAAGAAAAAAGGGACAGTGGGTTAGCACATTCTCAACCAATTCTAGTAGTTTGGCTCTTGATATACCAATAATAAAATAAGAACCACATGCACAATAGCGGGCAAGAATCTCTGGTCTATTACTCAACAACTACTTCATTTATTTACACCGGTCATATTCAGGTTTTATCATTTGACTTGCTTGATTTTCCCATAGCTTTCTTTGTTCTTTAACTAAATCACCAACTTTCAAATTTGTACAATTTCTTTGTCAAATCATTAATCCCATGTCAAAGAAGCTATGTGATGCCACCTATGTTGACGGCAAATAACTTTTTACTCTAAATTTAGCGGGTAGAAGACATCTCTCTATATGTTTATAACCTCATACGGATTCGTCCCATGAAAGAACAACACAGTATCCATATATGTTCGAAGACGGCCAATTTGCAGGAACTTCAGCAGAAAAAGACATTTACTTCCCTAAATATGAAACAAGGTAATGCCTTATGCAAAATAAATCGCGTGAAGGTAGAACAGTTTTTAAGCTTCAACATGTGCACATGAAATATATTATGCAACGGACAGTTTGATATGAATTTCAGTAATCTGAAAAATTCAGAAGTTCTAGGGCAAGACTACTACATCGGAAGGACAAAACATTATATATATATATATATATATATATAAATCAAGCAAATGACCAAGGGGTAAAATAAACTTTTGCCCTTCAGCTTACAAGGAGGAAGAAAGAAAAAGAAATTTTTTTGCCCTTCATAGACATTCAAAAAAATGTTGGGTGAGACATGAAATAAAGGCAATCCGAATTTACCCTAACAATTTGCTGAATCTTTTCAGATGTTGCCAGTGGCGGCCGTTTCTTTATATGTTCCCGTAATCCTACCAATGAATGTCTGCACAAAAGCATACGCCATTAGATGCAGCACCTCAGAATGGGCTAGACGACATAGTACTAATCACTAAGGAATTATCGGGGGTGGGAAGGGAGCAATCTCATTAGGAAGATGACATGGTACTAATAAATAAGCAAATCTACAAAATTAGTGGTCCTAGATGGATGAGCAAAACATATCCCGTCTTTAGCTATAGAGAAACAGGAGTGCTCTAAGAGAATAAATTTAGAAGATGAGGGATGAGAAGACTAAAGACAGAACGCTTTTCATGCTTTCCCATTACAAATTTAGCAACATGAGACATAACTAACAACTTCTAGGAAAATTCTTCAGGAGATTGTCAGCTCAAATCTGTCGAATGACCCTAGGCTTCAAGGCCAGAAAAGTGGCTGCTCACACCAATACTGAAAAATATCACAATCACAGTGGAAAATAATTTGGCAAGTCACCGAAAGATTAAATAAAGGAGAAAAAGCAATAGAGGTAATGATACCCCTTTAGATGGAGATGGAAGCTTAGGCTGTTAGCCTCCACACCAATTAAGTCAGAACATCAGAATAAAATCAATCCAAGAAAAACTCCTGAGCCAAATTACCAATGAAATTGCCTCTGAGAACTAAAAGCCTTCATACGATAGCAACCGTAATCAGACATTGTATTTTCTTTCAAAATTGACAGTGAAATAGAGGATATATAATTGAAAGAGCATTTGGAATGTAAACCTACATAGCATTCAGGAAAAAAGGAGGCAAGAAAAAGTTTTGCAAGATACAATTGGTGAAGTCTACATACAGTGAGGGGTGAGTATCCTGTTGATTGACATAAGCAAAGAGCATTTGGAATGTAGGCATACATGTAAACACAAACGGCATTTAAGAAAATAGAAGGCGAGAAAAAATTTTGCAAGATACAATTGGCGAAATCCACATACAGTGAGGGGTGAGTATCCCGTTGACTGACATAACCAAAGCCAACCTCCCCATCCTGCAATGACACTGGAAAAATGTTAATGAGTTGCAACCAAGTGATGACGCAACAAAAAGGCTAACAAGATACAAAGTTCTGTAGAAGTAGCAAAAAGGAGGAAGAAGAACCTCAAGAAGCATTTTAGCTTGCAATGGAGATAAATGAGTGTTTGCTCCCATGAACTGCAGCATTTGTTCCTCAGTGATCCCAGCCTTAAAAAAGAGCAGCAGGCAATCAATTCAATTTCTATATTGCGCTTTGCACATGCAATCACCTTTCTTAGTTTTCTTTCTTTTTGCTGAAATATCACTTTATGGACCATAACTACCATGGAATATTTGAAAAGAATGGTTAGGATGGAAAAAACACAAAATGTTCACAAGATTTCCGGAGAGAAAACCATCCTTCCTCATTTTAAATGTGTACCAAGACCCCAAAACTTAATAACAGTAAGCAGAAAATTACCTTTGGGGGCATCCAGTCCACACCATGCAGCAAGCAAGATTCACCATAACAGGATCTAACAGCAGCTACAAACAAAGTGCTCCTGAAGAAGCGTGTATTTCCATCATATGGTTCACCATAATGTGTCAGTGATTTAACGTCAGCAATTGGTGGTTGACCTGATCATACAGTGATAAGCAGCCATAAGAAGAAAAGAACAGCGCAAGGATCAATTATTACAAAGCTACAATTAACCTGCTGATCCTTAATTACGAAACAAGTACCAAGTTCATCATCAAAAGCAAGGCAGTAGGCTTTCAGCTCACGATCTGTTTCCCGGTTCATTCGTTGACCTATTAAGAAGGCTGAAAGCAATGACTCACTAACACTATGTGATGCCGAACCATCTAATTTTAGTGGAAGAACATCTTTTAAAACACCCTGAACCTCTTCATACCCAAGATGTCCGCCAGCTAAAACTTCCCTAAGGGCACCGACTAATCTCATTTCAGAAGGAATGCTGCCTCCAAATCGGGGTCCAATAGAATTTCCAGCTCCCATTATTGATCCTTCAGGATCAGCAATAAAAATTATATCTGGAGGTAGTGCTCGCACTAACTGTGGCCAATAATGATTCATTGCGCACCTTTCTCCTTCGCTCCATTGGGTAGGTTCAGGGAAAGCATTAGCACGAATTGTCATTGCAGCAAAAAAAGCTCCAAGTTGTGCTCTCGACACTTGCTCTTCATCTTTGAGTTCTCCTTTTGCTGAATTCAACAATAACCTTGTGATTTAATTCCAAAAATCAACCAAAAAAAAACAGAGTTCTCAAGTAAGAATAGCTGCATGAAACTTAAAAAAAGTTTGGAAAAGATATTTATACACACTGCAGAAACTTTCTATATGGATCATAAATGATCAAATCCCACAGCACCCAGAATTACGAGTGTGGGAGCCTGGGGATTCTATTAGTATCTCTAAGATATTAAATATCAAAGGAAGAGTTAACATCATGCTTTACAGCTAAACCTCAGCCCACTCTATTGTCAAATTATGCCATAGTCATCTTCCATTTATAAATCCCGTGGTCTAACAAAATTGGTAGTTTGAACATGGCAACGTTGAACACCTCCTCCTTTGCCCCTCATGCCCATACCATCCCATCCTTCCCTCCCCTCCAGAAACGAATAGAAAAAGAAAAATAATAGAAAGAAACAAACACAGGCAAGAACTGATAGAAAAAAGTAAAACAATCTGCACACTTAACTGGTTCACACCCTGAATTATGCAACATTTACATATACCTAAAAATCCCTGAATTTTATGAGAAACGTTCATCTTTAACATTTTTATCCAAGGTTCAATCTTTTGCGGAGCCAAGCAACCAGATGGAGCTCTAATTGAACTGATTTAAATGCTTTGTCCAGGAAAATATGTTCCATGAAGTTTTTCTTACATGATAAAAGTCATCTGCATCTTACACATATATGTCTAACCACTCGAAGGACAATAAGACAAGCTCATTTTCCGTTATATTTAACATGATTTTTCCTTCCAAGGCATCAATGCAGTGTTTTTCTGCATAAAGCAGTAGTTCTATCCAGAATGGTACACAACAATGCTGAACTCAGTTAAATAGCATAAATATGGTGCCTAACGTGCTAATGTATTCAAAATGTGATAGTCAGATAAACTAGAGAATACCTCTAGCTAGTTTAGATGTCAACATTGAGTTCTGCAGATCTTAATTAAAATGCACTCCTGTCCTTTTAACCACCTCTTCTGATCCCAACTTAAGTCTTTAACATCCTACCATGCCCTTCAAGTAAATCACTCGCACAACGCATCCTTCAAAAATTCAGCATAGAACTCTCTGTTAACTTTCCTAAATGAATATCCTCATCAAATTCAAGAAATTCAGAACACATTTTTTTTCCTGGCACCTCGAGTCCATTGAAAATTCTAAAACATAATCTGCAAAAGGACCACCAAAAAAAGAACTTTGTCCTCAACCAAACACATTCTTAACTTTAACAGTTCATCCAAATCTCATACTAGTAAAATACTGCAGCACAAAACTATACAAATCAATGCAAACCATTAATCAATAAAGTAAGTAAAAAATTCCAAATAGGAATTTGAACAACATAGAAACTTCAATTATGAGTTCATAAATAAACATATGCAATAAAAAATTAAACAAAACTTATATTCAACTCAATTAGATTAGTTACCTGATTTAAGTATTGTCTCCAGAACCTTAAAAGCTTGTTCTTGATTAAGTGGCCGAGTTTGAGTAGGCCCAGTGCAGACCCTCGTCTGAGCTTCCAGAAGCGTCTGATTGGGTATCGGAAAATTGGGATTCCGGTACGATGTTGAAATGGACGGGTTTCGAAGACCCGACCCGGTTACGTCTGTCCTTACCGAATCCAGAACTGCTTTAACAGCCAGGGGGCGGACATTTTTCCTGATAATCAAGCGACCAAGATGATTTGATGCTAGGAAATGGAGGGAAAATTGCGGCGAGAGGCATTGAGGAGGCCTTAATTTGACGTATGGCGATGGGTTTGGATTACACCTGATTTGGTTAACCCGACCCGGATCAAGAATTGCTCTCGTGGGCATGGCGGTGTAGCGGTGTCTCCGGGTTGACTTGGCTGCTGCGTTGTACACCTGAGTTGGTGCTCTTTTGTAATTTGTAGCTGCTGAGGTCAAAATAGAATATTTTATCATTTGTTTACCATCCCTTTTCTTTTTTCCCCCTTAAAAAATTTCAAGGATAACTTAGGCCTGTTTGGAAGCTAGTTTTTTGGGCAAGTTTTTTACCTACAAGTTTTTTAACAACTTTTGCTATAGGAACCCAAAAAACTTTTCAAAATTTTTTACGCACTTCAAAATACACAAAACATATACAAATTCCTCCACCATCCCAACCCAATACACAAAACACACATAAAAAAAATTCCCTTCCCTTTGGCTTTCTTCTTCCTCTACCATCCCAACCCAGTCCACCACCTCCGTCGCCGATCACCACCACCTCCGGTGCCATTTTCTTTTTTTTTTTTTTTTTTCCTTTCTCCCTCTCCCTGCCATCCTCCTCCTTTACCTAGTTTGACTGCCTTCCTCTTTTTTTTTTGTGTGTCCCCCGCAACCCTCCCCCTCCCGCGACCAGATCTGGTCCCATGACCAGATCACAAAAGTGGAGGGAAAGGGAGTTGCGATCTATTCACGCGAGGGCAACGAGGCTACTGAGGGTGACGGGGATAGATGAGGGGAGGAGAAAAAGGGGGTGGCGGGCAGAGGAGGTTGGCGGGGCAGAGGGAGAAGAGGGGCAGCGGGGAAGAGGGGGAGGAGAAGAGGTGACGGGCGGAGGAGACGGGAGAGGAAAAGGGGTGGCGGGGGAGAGGGGAGGAATATGGGTGGCGGGTGGTAGGGAGAGTGGAGGAAAAGGGGTGGCGAGCAGAGGGGGGTGGCGGGGGAGGGAGAAGAGGAGTGGCAGGGGAAAGAAGGGGAAGGGGAAAGGGAGGGTGACGGCAAAGGGAGGGGGAAGGGGAGAGGGAGGGTGACGGCAGAGGGAGGGGGAGGGGTAAGGGGTGCTGCGTTGCTGCGGGGAAGGGGGCTGGTAACGGGGAAGGGGGAAGGGAAGGAAGAAGAAGAAAAAGAGAAGAAAGAAAAAGAAAAAGAAAAAGAAAAGAGAAAGAGAAAAAGAAAAAAAAAGTTTTTCCTCTTAAAAACTTTTACAAAATTTTTCACATTATAAAAACTTTTACAAAAAATTTTTTCATCTTACAAAAAATTTTACACAAATTTTTTCAAAAACTTCTACAGTGTACTACAGCAAAGTTTTAGACAAACTCCCAAAAAACTCAGGTTCCAAACAGGCCCTTAGGCAGCATTTGGATTGAAGGAAATGAAGGGAAAGAAAAGGAAGGATATCTATGAAAAAGAAAGGAAAGAAAAGTAGATAAGAGTGGCTTTCCATCCATCTTGTTTGGATTAAATGCAGAAGAAAAAGAAAAAAATTGCTGAATTTTTGTTTGGATTGAAGAAGGAGAAGAAAGGAAAGGAACATATCAAGAATTAATTTACTAGAAAAGATAGGAAAATTTTGAATCTTTGAAAAATTTTAAATTATTTCAATAAATTTAGTTCATTTCCCTCTGTTTTTACCTATTTTTGGACGGAAACCATAATTCAACAAAATAACTAGATTCCCTGTGAGGACCCAAAAATTTTCCTATTTTATTTTATTTTTCTGGTTTAATTAATTATTTAGTTCGACTATTTAAAATTCAATTATATGAAAAAAAACGCCTCTTTTATGTTTTAAAATGTTTTGATAGAAAAGTTACTTTTCGAAAACTCGTTTAGTTCGGAACAATGAGTACACGTTTTTCAAGACTATATTTAAATTGAGAGTGTATTAATTTTGAAAAAATAAGAATGATCAATAGTAGATTAAGAAAAGTCGTGAGGACTCGTAAAATTTATTTATTTTAAACTCCTGTTACGAGCTTATTTAAATATTTAAATGCCCGTTTACCCCGAATATTATTTTGTAACCTTTTTTAGACCCAATTACATGGAACTATGACTTACATGTATTTTTAAAATGACTTGTTATGAAAATTAATTTTTGAAAGCTCGTTTAGTGAGAATAGTGAATACGCGTTTTCGAGACAGTGATTGATTTGGGGATACTGTGAGTTTGAAAAATTGGAAACTTGTACTATGGTCCTAAAATAGGTAATCTTATGAATAAATACTCAAGTGATAGTTAGTAGTACAGTCGTTATAAGAATTTCTCGGAGGTTTCGCGTTATAGCGTTAAAATTGACGATACGCGTTGTCGCACGCGCGACTTTATTTGAGGGATTTTAGACCCTTATTTCGGGACAATTAAGAGTGAATAATATTTACATGAAAATAAGTGTATTTGAGGTTTAGTGCACTAGTGAACCAAACGCGCGAGAAATCGAGCCTTAATCGCGCGAAACGCCCCCTAATATGAGTTGACTAATGGGTGATTTGTAGTCACAAGTTAGTATCTTCTCTTGGAAGCTTAAAAATCTGATCACTCTCTTGGAACCGTTTACCAACCCACATGACTACCTGATTACTTGACTAATTGCTCACATGATTTCCTATCTACATGACTACTCGTTATCCGTGAATTACATGCTCCCATGAAATCAACTTGTATTGCTTACGTGTTTACGTGCTAAGTATCCACTTGACTACTTGATTATCATGAATCACATGTTATATGAAGCTGTCCATCATTGTTAGGCGAGTGTGTACTTTACCTCACTCAACCTACTCAAATGATGAATTTTACCTCTTGTCGAATTACTTGGTTACCTGTACATGTTGTAAGCTCTAAACTGAACTTGGGTCCTGCCTTTGGTTACTGACCTACTCGAGCCAGGATTGGGTTCGGTCGGGTATGTTGGAACCTTGGGCCACCGTTTCGGTATACTCGAGTATTACCACTGGAGGGATAAGGTGATGGCCAGTCAAATCGAGGGGATCCGGAAGTCATAAGGTGTAGATGACCGACAGAGTTCCACTGGAACACCGTATCCTACAGTATATGTTTACCTTGTATCATGATAATTGTTTCATGCTAAAATGTCAACATGAAATCCTGAGCCATGCCTGTGATATGCTTCCTACCTGTTACCTGTCAAATGTACTCATATCATGATACCTGTTTCATGTTAATGCTCCATACCTGTAACATGCTTAATTACTCGCATCTGTAATAAGCTCCAATCACCTCATGATAACACGCCATTGTGTAACCTTGAACCATGCATATGATATGCCCAACTTACTTGATTTATTTGAACTGTTAGAGTGTCTTGGTACCTCACTGGGTTGTGTAGCTCATACCACGTTGTGGATTTCTTTTACAGGGTTCGAGACTAAGGGTGCTCGTGAGTAGCACTAGATTGTTTTCTTTTGAAGACTTTAAGTTATATGATAACGGATGGTTATTGTATCCTTTTCCGTTGGGTTGTATTTAAGCTTGAAAGCTGCATAATTGTAAGTGTGAGATATTTGAAATACTTTAATTATGCATTGAAGTTACTTAAAGTATTTCGAGCTGTTGAATGATGGATTGTAGTGAGTCCTGGCGAGAGTTGGGCAGACGTCCTGCGAATACCCTTTGGTTCGCCTTAGAGAGAAGTGGGGGCGTCACACTCCCTCCATCCCTTTCCTTTACTTTCTCTCTTCAAAAATCAAACCAAACAACACAAACTAAGTACGCGTTTGATTCGCAACTTGGAATCGGATTCAGATTTGGAATCGGATATCTTAGGTTTGGAATGAAACCATTCATTCCAATACATTTGTTTGGTTCAAGTATCTGGAATGGGTATCATTACTATACTTGATGTTTGGTTCGTTAATTCTTTCGGAATGAAATATAATAAATTTTCAATTTTAACCCTGCCTGTAAAATTGAAAATAGACTTTGTCTAAAGGTTTTAAAAAAAAAATACATAAACCTTATTAATAATCTCGTCATATAATTACAAGTTATCATGAGCATAATAATGTAACATATCAATAATTACTTAGAAATAATCATGTGACATAAATAATATTTTGTCATTTCATTTTATCAAAAATAGAAGATATTACATAGAATCCAAACAAAAGATCAACATGTTTATGGCATAACCCAAAAGATCGTGAACAGAGTCACATGTTCCAAGATAGACAAAAAGTTTCTATCGAGTTTATCATCATGTTCACTAGCCATACTTTTCCAAACATTCATAATAAGTAGTTATACTTTAGAAATTAGATGAAAGATAGAGGAGATTAATGACATATTGTCTTCTCATGTCAACAGGAAGATTAAAGAACATATTTAGCTTTGTTGCATCTGCTCCTATAATGTTGGCTGCTTTATAAACATTTTCATTTGGTAATCCAAGATTGACCAACTCAGTAGGCAAATTATTGCTTCTATCTACAGCCAACTGTTCATGTGTATCTTCATTTGCCATGACATTTGCCATAGTGGTGAAGTTAGTGGCAATACCCTCCATGAAGGATCCAAACTGTCCTGTTAGTTGTTGAAATGGAACATCAATGGTTGACTATGTTGTAGTTGATTTCATCTTTTTTGATGGATTTTCGATTGTAGGTGATACTTTCTTTTGCTTTTTTTGATGAGTTTCTTGTACTTGTTGAAGCTGTTTGTGTTACTGAATTTGCTTCATCATCATCATCATCGTTACCATTATTCGTTAAGTCTACTTGAGCAGCAACCTCTTCCACTTCTTTTTTCATATTTTTGACAGCATCTGCAAAACCTTCAGCAACAACTCCAGTAGCTCTATCTCGCCTATATACTATATCAAGATCATCCAAATATGGAAATTTAACATTCCAAAGGCCTTTTGCTTCTATGTGCGTCTAAAAAGTAGTAATCAAATAAATAAGCAGAAATTTAAATCTTCACAATTTGAAAATATAAATAATTATTAATACTAAAAAGTTATAGTTAGAAGTTTTTTTACCTTATACCAATCTTCATACCATTGTCTTTCACATTGAATCTTTTTTTCAACATCATTCTATTGACAGCCACTTTCTTTACACATGTCAGTGATTGCATGATATCTAGATTTCAACTATTTTACCTTTGACTCCAAGTGTGGAG